GAGAGAGAGAGAGAGAGAGAGAGGCCGGGCCTGCTGTGGGCTTTTGAAACCTCAAAGCCCCACCCCCTGTGACACTCCTTCTCCAACAAGGCCACACCTCCTAATCCTTCCCAAACAGTTCCTCTAATTGGGGAGCAAACATCCAACCGTATGAGCCTATGGGGACCATTCTCATTCAAACCACCACAGCAAGCATGACAAGGAATTCTCTGATTGCCAAGTTTAGAAGACATTTATTTTTGATGGGATTAATGTCTAAAATACCCTGATTGGCCTGGTACCACCTAGTAGTATTCAATCCCCAGGGTTTGATAAAGAAACACATCATGTTTCTCGAGCTCTCTCTTATCTAAATGTCATAGATATTGGTATATTTCCTATTTTCACCATTATTAGGAGATGATGACCCAGATCTTGTAGTGGGTGGTTGTTTGAGCCATGCCCTGAAGCACTGCCCCTAGCAAGGTAACAGATAGCTGCTACACCTGCCTATAACCTTGAGGTACATGATCCTGGGACATGGCTGCTTGGAGACCCTTAAGACCCGGGATGCATGTAGGCTCTCCTTTCTTTGCTACCTCGTGGTTTTGGATGCTGGTACGGACTAGGGCAGAGCTCGCCAGAGAGCTGAGTTGGACCATGTCTCACCCTTCCAGGACCCTGCAACAAATTCCTTTATTCTGTCTTGTGAGTTAACCCCCAAATAAATTCCTTTGCTCATTAAGCAGGCTCCGTGGATCGCTAGCGATACCATCCCAGCAAATTCTTTTTGTTTGTTTTTCTTTCTTAAAAAGCATTTCACTCATGGGATCATTTTAGTTGCCTTTTGTCTAAGCTTCTGGCAAACTCACTGTGGACCACAATAGTAAGCCATTTTCCAAGCACAAATGTGCTGTTGTGCTCAGGAGAGGTGTAGTGGTTTGAATGAGGTGTCTTCTAAAGGTTGCAGGCATTTGAATACTTGGCGGCTGTCTGGGGAGGGTTAGGAGGTATGACCTTGTTGGAGGAGGGGTATCACTGTGGGCAGGCTTAAGGTTTGCCCAAGTGCAGGCCATTCCCAGTGCCCTCTCTGCTTCCTGTCTGGAGATCTGAGCTGTCGGCGGCTCCAGCCTTGTTAGCCTGCCTGCTGTCATGCTCGCTGCCATGATGGTGATGGACTCCTATCCCTCTGGGACTGGAAGGCCCAGATAAACTCTTCCTCTATAAGTTGCCTGGTTTGTGCTGTTTGATCTCAGCAATAATAAAGTAACTAAAACAAGATGTAAAGGTAAGTCTTTACCTCTCCCTCTTACTTCCAGATGCCACCTCTCTCTAGCTACATTCTGACCACACAGAACAGCTTGGTAACACCCACGGATTCCTATAAGCCCAGTGTTCTTTCTGGGATGCCAACTCTCAGTCCATTTATATCCAGCAAATTCCCACCACTTATTTTAACCAACACGAGCCCTTCAGTCAAGGGTAGATGCCCTTTCCTGTATAATATCACGCTGTTACATCTAGGGAGAATCCACTAATTCCATTAGTTTATATGTCACTCTGCTGGGCTACAAGCTTTGCATTTCCAGCAGCATGCACAGCCCTTGGCGCCTGGCCCGCGTTCAGTGCTCATTATTGAGAGAAACAATGTCTGTTGTTTTATTTTCTGGTGACCTCCAGCCTTTAAGCATGTCTTCGCTTGCAGGAATGTACAGGGGCAGTGTCTACCAAGAAAGCCCTTGAACAAAGGCAGATCTGAAAACCTGGATCCTGGATTCTCAAAGGTATTTGCATGATTTCCTTAATGCTAAGACTCACCTACAACTTAGTACATAAAAGCACAGCTCTGAGAGATCCTTCTGTGGCTCCATCCTGTCATCACTTCACAGTTCGGGGATCTTGGTACCTCTATAACCAGAGACCAGAGACCTTTTCTATGTGCCTCTTGAAGTTCACTTAAAAATCACCAGAGGAGCCAGGCGTTGGTGGCGCACGCCTTTAATCCCAGCACTCGGGAGGCAGAGCCAGGCGGATCTCTGTGAGTTCGAGGCCAGCCTGGGCTACCAAGTGAGCTCCAGGAAAGGCGCAAAGCTACACACAGAAACCCTGTTTCGAAAAACCAAAAAAAAAAAAAAAAAAAAAAAATCACCAGAGGATCCTGATTCTGACATCTGTGGAAACACAGAAAAAATTTTTTTACCCAGATGAATACTGATTTCTACTTCGGTTTTGTTCTTAGCCTTTGTATATCTGTCTTTATTTGCCTTCTGCTGCTGTGAAAACACTGACCAAAAACAACTTTGAGAAAGAAAGGATAAATTTCATCTTACATCTTACAGTCCATCATGTTGGGAAGCCGAGGCAGGAACTCAGGCAGGAGCCCGGCGGCAGGAATTGAAGCAGAGACTGTGGAGGAACGCTGTTTACTGGCTTGCTCTCATGGATTGTTCAGTTGCTTTCTTATACAAATCAGGGTACCTGTACAGGGATGGCATCAACTACAGAGAGCTGGGCCCTCCCACGTCAATCATTAATTTAAAAAATGCCCCACAAACTTGTCTATAGGTCAATCTGATGGAGGCAAGTCCTCAGTTTATGTTCTCTCCTTCCAGATGACTCTAGCTTGTGTAAGTTGATGAAAACAAGAACAAAACCCAACCAACCAACCAGCCAGCCAAACAAACAAAAAACCCCTAGCCAAACATCACTCTCTTCTTGACCAAACAACAACCTTTTATAGACAGATCAGCTAAGTATATCAGTGGCCATTTGGACATGAATGATTGCGATAGAGTATGTTTTGGTAGATTAAAAGGAAAGGATATAACAATGCATGGATTGGCATTCCTCCCAAATAATGTTGTTTTAGAAATGATAACTTAAAAAGAAATACCTTCAGAATGTGCATGAAAACACCTATTAGCATACATCCACCAACTCAACACAAAGGCCCGTTAGCGCCCAGAGCACTGGCCACAGCTGCTTTTCTGAGTCCATCTCCTCCTACCTTACCTTTGCCTGCTTGGATCCGAGTCAGATACACCTTGGTCTGTGCCTTGATCCCTGGTCCCAGTCCTTTCTCTACATCTTTTCCTTCTCTCTGTCTTTCACTTACCATCTTCTCAGACTTATTTCTTGACTTCTCCATTAACCACCAGCCCCGCAGTCCTGCCAGGGCCTCTGTAGCTCTCTCACAGCCTCCGTAGTTCTCTAAGGCACCCATCACTTCTGATGTCCTCTGTTTTTCCATTGTTCACTGCCACATCGTTAGCACTTAGACCAGTATCTGGCAATAGGCTTGCAGATCAGTCAATATGAATTTAATCTATACCCTATAACATCTTTAAAAAACTACATTATTTTTAAAAAAGGAATAACATAGAAGATTGAAAAAGTTAACCTCCCAAATTACTGCATTTTAGGCAGTTTCACCATTGAGATATAAAAATCTTTCATGAAATATTTAAGTCTAGTACTAGTAAGACCTTTTAGATGATAGGATAATATTCATTCTAACTATAGCAGAAATTAGAAACAAAAAGCCGTTCAACAATATGGCATTGCTTGATAAGTATCTATACATTTTTGAATGTATATGGATGTTTTGCCTGCATGTAGGTCTGGTGCCTGGTGCCTGCCGAGGCCAGAAGAAGGTGTCAGGTCCCCTGAAACTGGAGTCACAGATGATTGTGAGCCACCCTGTGGGTGCTGGGAATCAAACTCAGATCCTCTGGAAAAGCAACCAGTGCTCTTAACAGCTGAGCCACCTCTCCAGCTCCAATATGGCTATATATTTTCTTTCTACACTCGTACAAACAACAGTACAGTCAAACACTGGGACGCCCCAGGTCTTGGTTCCAGTGCATCCCACCAGAACCCCAGGTGCTTAAGCTCCTGGTGTAGTGTTTGCCCATAACCTGCACACACTCTCCAGTATAGGCTAATCACCTTTAGATTACTTACAATACAATGCAGATCTGGTATAAATGTTCTGTTCTGCCGTATTGTTAACAGTTTTAACAAGAAAAAAGTCTGTGCTGACTGATTTTTTTTCTGAATATTTTCATTATGGAACCTGTGGATACAGAGGGATGCTTGTATTACTATGGGGAAAATATGCTTCTGATGTTTTCATAATTTGAAGACACAAGTATGCAAAGTATTCTTTTCACTTCATTGTAGAGGACTTGGAAGAATTGGAAAGGGAAACATATGAAGGTATTTATAAAACCAAGAAGCAAATGGTTTAAGTAAACTGCCCTGGTCACATGGCTGCTAAGTGGAGAAGCCCAGGGACGTGGAGGCCAGCTAACTTCAGTTCAGTGTGTCTTCTGGACACCACCTAACTTAGAATTTCCCTGGCACAACTGCCTCGGACTCAAGCCCTTCTTAACTGTGCCCAGGGTCTATACTTCTGTAACCCCCACAACTAACACATGTACCAGCCTGCCACATGGGTGTGGATTTGAATCTAATAGAACTTTGGGTCTTCTATGTTATTTCTCTGGGCCAATAGACTTGATGCTCCAGTGGGCATAAATCAGTTTTACCAGGAAGATAATAGTGAAGAGCAATATCCTGTGTGCTTTCCACAACAGTGAGCTTTCCAGCTTTGAGTTGATTTTCACATTTTATGTTCAAGGGCTGGGAGGGACTACCACTGTTTGCGCAGCGTAGAAGGGCTCAGCTGAAAAGCAGATCCATTTCTAATCAACTCAACTGCCAAGTCATTCGCATGTGAGTTAATACCTTAGGCAACTTCTCAACTAGGACATACTCTTGTCTGAGGCCAAGCTCAGATAAAACATCTTCCAGAAAAGTCATCATGGGCAAAGCGTCTTTGGATACTTAACCTAATTAGTGCCAGGCTCTAGCTCTCCACCAGTTTATAATCTCACGGAAGTATCTTACAAAATGGTCACCATTTGTTCTTCTGTTTCCCTGAACAGCTATCTCAGTCCCCAAGATGTCCTGTTTATAAACAGTCATCCAAGAGGCCAAGGAGCAGAGCAGGCCATGTGATGGATTGCCCACAGCAGGCTGACTCTGCCTATCGTTCTTGCTGGCTCTAATTAAAAGATGACGAAGTCAGGGGTCTGAGGCAGGGATGACAATGGGGACAGCAGTCCCCAAAATAGCAGCAGAGGAAAATGGATGCCTTTGAGTGATTGCATGATGTCTGAATTAATGGCCAGGAAATGAGCGATTATCGCACACTTACAGCTAGGCTGCTTTGTAAAGCGTGTGGTGTGCTCAGAGCTATAGACTTGAACTTGGGGGAAATTGAAGAGAGGAGTTTGTGCTCAATTATTGCTTGGCTGGCTAAATGCATATCCAAGCAGTGCTTAAACTAAGGGGACGATCACTTTCTGCTACTGCTGTTTTAGTATTGATGTTTCTAAAATAAGCATAATCTTATGAAGCTCATTTTGTAGACACATGTAGTCTCCAGCCAGTTGTTGACTGGGGGAATCAACTTTTATTGCACTGCCTCTGTTCCTGACTTACAATAACATTAGTTGGTATTTGAATAGCTGCTTTTCTGCAGAGACGAAGCTGCCCCCCACCCCAACCCCTGGTTTTGGTTAATTTATTCTCAGAGCACTCCAGTTTGGCAGTGACAGGCATCCTTATTTTTCTGGGGCTGATTGGTTCAGTAGGTTAAAGCATCACACAAAAGAGGCCAAAGTCCAGCGTTTGATTCCCTTGTGGGGGTGAGCTCTCTAGGCTGCAGGCCTCACCTCAGCCGCCATCTTGTAATGGTGTCCATTCATCATGGGCAGAAATGGGAGGAAAGGTGAGGGAGGATTAGAGCAAATCCATCATTGCTCCTGGAAATGCAACTGATTATGCCGGTCCCCTGGGCTTGGGGGCAGGAGGAGGCTGGGTGTCTCTATGCAAACAATAGCACTCACTGCATGTAGTTAGAGAAACTGAGGAACAGGCCACATACCTATTGCTGGATTAAAACAACAACAGCAACAAAACAAAAACCAGACTCATAAACCAGGAACTGACACAATTTTTCTTACTCTTCAGTCAGTTTGAATTTCTTAGACATATTATAAAAGTACTAGCCACTATTTAGACTGAATCACCCAGAAGTGCCTACTTACTTCTTGAACTATTATTTATTCTAAAAGCCATTTCAAATTTAGTAACTGTCAAATAAAGTCTCTTTCACATGTATCTTCTCACACAGAATGATCTACCTTAGGAACCTACAAGGAAAAGAGTGAAGAATACGGGTCCATAACACACTTCAGGAAGCAGATGTTTTGGCTGAGCAGGGACGTTATCTATGGCCTCATTTTATATTTGCAGGACGTTTATTCTTAGCGTGGCTGGCCTTCCTTTTGTACATTTCTTTGACTTTGGCTCTTCTGCTTCGCCTCTAATGATTACTATTTTTGCTCCAACAGGTGCTGCTTTGGAGAAGCCCTTCTGCTCTGGTCCCGCACCCTGCTTGTCCTGTCAGGCGTCCCGAGGCCCCTGGAGGGTTCAGCCCCCGCTTCCCCCAGACATCTCATAGCTACTGAGCTAATGGGCCAGCTCTCCGCGGAGCTGAGAAAAACCTGTCCCGTATTTCACACCATCAATTACATGCTGGATTCTCTCCTAGCCGCCTTTTGTTAGCCTGAGCTGAGTTGCCCAGGAGCAGCAGCCGGGTCTGCAAATGCCATTTATGCGCTCTGATGGGAGCCATTTGGCACCGGGTTCCAATGCGCTCTGTCTACAGATAACCAGGAAGGCTCCAGTTACAAGACAAACAGTCTTCGTCTTGCACTTCTGACTTACTTCCTATTGATGAGTGGCCCCCAGGCTTGGGCTCATCTGTTCCTCTTTTGTCTCCCAGAGTTATCCATCGCCATCCAAGGCCTGGGAGGAAATACTCGGTTTCTTTGGTCTGAAGATGCTGGAACAAGATTGCTTGGACCAATTATAGTTTCATCACTTTTAGCTGTGTGACGTTAGATTAGTTACTTAACCTCTCTGACCTTCACTTTTTTAATCTTTCAAATGAACTACTGCTACATAAATTAGATTTGTAGTGAGGATTCATTTGGTTGGTTAATATGCTAAAAGTCCATATAAAAGGCTGGGCAGAGTGTGCTACATAAATACTAATAGAGGGAAGTATTGCCTCTTATCTTTTCTCTGATTGTTCTTCTGGGCAACGAGAGCTTGAGGCTGCCCATTTCTCAGCCTTTGGCAAAAAGACGTAGCAGTAGGGCTAGTGTGTCCTCCACACCTTGGACTTGAAGGTTACTGTGAGCCTCGTGTCTGGGTCTGCCTAGGAGCACCGCTGGTTTTGGGGGTCCTGGGGGGTCTGCTGTCTGTGAGGTGTGGGTAATGTTAACCCCAGTCTCTCTGGGTTAAAAGTGTGTTTTATCCCTGAGACACCAAGGGCAATTTTCAGAAGAAAACTCGAGATAACCAGAGAGAAACTCTAGGAAAAAAAATCTTCAAAATAGAGGAAGACAAGAAATAGTGGGCAAATGGGTGCTCTTCTTCTTCTTCTTCTTCTTCTTCTTCTTCTTCTTCTTCTTCTTCTTCTTCTTCTTCTTCTTCTTCTTCTTCTCTTCTTCTTCTCCTTCTTCTTCTTCTTTTTCTTCTTCTTCTTCTTCTTCTTCTTCTTCTTCTTCTTCTTCTTCTTCTTCTTCTTCTTCTTCTTCTTCTTCTTCTC